CCACCCAATAGGTACCTATCGTCCTGTCAGTTCTGTGGATAATCGATCGGATATAACCTTCGAATGGTACTGTGATGCATATGTCGCCAGGATGTTCCTACCGTTGAAGCATTTTGCAGTAGAATCAAGACTTACACATGCGTCTGGAAGCCTTCTTTACCTCCCCTTTCATTGTTGTTGTTATCATTTCCATTGCGTTTCACAAGGCCTAGTATAATCATAAGGTTTATGTGTCACCTAATGCTGGAAAGATTACAAACAAGTCGCAANGCAAAACAGAGGAATTGTAGACACCCAATGGGTTCCAGTTTGACAACAGAGCCCACACTGACAACATCTCCGTGCCATTTCTGGCCATGTCTCTAGCCCCCACTCTTTGCTCCAAGTTGTAAAACCGAACCCAACGGTATACAAAGCTTTTCCCAATAGATATTCGGCCTATTTTCAATGCTGCCAATCTGGCGGCTTTGTCCATTCCTGTGGAAAACGAGCGAACAGTGTTCTGTTTGGCGGACGGTTGAGAGACATTTGGAGGAGGTAAGCAAACCAGTGCGAGAAAATACGTGACACTATGCGTTCGACCGTGATGAGCGATTCCGGAAATTTTCCGTCTAACCTCGCTGCTAGCGATACGCTGTTTCCACTAGGCGCCGGTAACGCTACACAGATCGATTATGAAAATTTTGAATTTTTGTGAATTGGGTAGAATTTCAAAGCCCCAAGCAACGCTACCATGGCAGTGAATTTGTAACTACAGTTCTTAATGCCTATTGTAACTTCTTCTTGGCTTCGGAGTTTATTAACGCTTCTCGTGCTCCGGTAATACGGTTCATCACTTCGCTCTGTGTGTCATTAGAGAAGATTCAACACCCTAATTGAAGGAGACGACTGACTAACTTCAGCTGTTCGCCGGCATATCATTTAGCCGGTCGAGAATCAAGATTGTAAACCGTCGGAGAAAAAAAAACATCCCTAAGATGGTCGCTGGATCGACCCAGTTCGTCCAGCAAATTCTCCTCATCAGTTTCTCAGTGGAAGAGGAGCATTTTTTTCATCGTCATTCCCGGCTGACCTATTGAGAGTAATTGTTACAACCAAATCATTTTGGAATTGGAACAGGTGAAATAAAACAATCCCGTCGCATACCACCAGCGATATCCAAGATTGGAGTTGAGTCAGTGTAGGCTTTTACTTATCGGGACTTGTGTGTGTGTGCATTTCCTGTACGCGGTCGACCTACTTTTAGGGCATGCTAGTTTTCGTTAGACAAACCCATAGTAGAGTGGACTGATGAATAGAACCAAAGGCTCGTAAACAGATTATCGCCTCCATACTTCAGTTGCCAACCCGTTTGAACAGCCTGAGCGTTGTAACAGTTTTTTTTTGTTTATTTGTTTCATTTTTGG